TTAAAGTCCTAAGCCGGTACTAAATTTCACCCTAAACAAGTCTAAAAATACCCAAAGTACTAGGTAGGGTTTAGGAAGTCACTTACTTGGTTTTGGCCCGGAGAAAATCGGCTTGGGCCTAAAATGGCCCGGGTGAACAAGGCCGAACTAGGCGCGGGCACGGGCCAACGGCGCGGTGGCCGGCCAACGCGGCACAATGGCCGGACGGCGCGCGCGGGCGCGCGGGCGCGGTGGCCGAACGGCATGCCCGGGCGCACGGCAAGCCGAACGGCGAGGTGCCTGGCCGAACGGGCAAGGCGCCGGGCCACGGCCGGGCGACGCGCCTGGTCGGACGGGCACGGCGCCGGGCAAGCTTGGCCACGGCCCGAGCTGGCCGGGCGGCTTGGCTACGGCTGGGCCGCTTGGCTACGGCTTGGCTGGCTGGCCGGGGCCGGGCCGGCTAGCTGGTCGGGCGGCGGCCGGCGGCGGCGGCGACTACGGCGACGGCGACGGCGGCGCGGTGGTGGCGAGCGGCGACGACGAGCTGCGGGAGGGTGGAGGTCGGCGGGGTGGAGCGAGAGGGAGAGAGAGAAGAAGGCCAGGTGAGGGCTCGGGCCGCGATGCTCGGGCGGCATGGCGGTGGCGAAGGGACCGGGTGATGGTGGACGAGCGGCGGCGAGCGGTCGGGCGGCGGTGCGGGTTAGCTAGGTGAAGCGGAGTTGGACGGGGAGGGTTTGGCCCGTGAGCTGCGGGCGTAGGTTGGCCGCGGTGGCGTCGGGCGCACGGCGGTGGGCTGCGGCGAGCTCTGGAGGCCGAGACAGCCGAGAGCCCGCGGCAGCGACGTCGAGCGGCGTCGGACGGAGGCGAGAGAAGCGGCCAGAGAGGAAGAAGGAGGGGCAAGGGCCGCGTGCTGATGGCGGTGGCGGTGGCCGGCGCACGGAGGTCGGCGGCGGCCAGGCGGCGCGCTAACGCGCGGCACCGCGTGTGGTGGTGGCGGCACGACGGCTTGCGGCTCGCGCGAGCGACGGGAGGAGGAGAGATCGAGCGACGAGGGCGGTCGACGGATCTGCGAGCGGGCGCGGCGCGGTGCGGCTCGGTCGGGGCTACGGCGGCGCGAGGGACGGCGGGCGGCCGGTGGTGGTTGCGGTCGGCGAGCGAAGCGGGAGGCGAAACTCGTCGGGCCAAGGAAAAGGAAGAAGGAATGAGAAGAGAGAGAGAGGAAGAAGAGATAAAAGGGAGGAGAGAGAGAGAGGTGGGGGGTAGGTCTGCATGGGTATGGGGAGGGCGTCTGCACGGGGAAGACGTGCGCGGCCAGCGGGGGAAAGGGAGAGAGAGAAAGAGAGAGAGAGAAAAAAAGGGAGGGGCAAACGCAATGATGGGGAGGACGTGCGCGGGCAGAGGAGAGAGAGAGGAGAGAGGACAAAAGGCTAATTTTTGTCTTCGAGCGCGATCCAACGGACACGGTTCAAACTAAAAATCGTTCTAACGATCACGATTCAAACCCGGAAAAGATCTAACTGTCCCCGAAAAATCCCAAACAATAATATAAGACAACGGGCCAAAATAAAATAATTCAAGACTCACTACGAGGGAGGTCTACCAGTCCAAAATTCGCATTCGGTCCAAAAATCCACTTTCTCACTATTCCTAATCACCTCGACGCTAGCCACAATAATATCGACACCGTCCAATTTATTTCGTCCCGAAACTCTCGAAAATCGACTGCCAAGGTCAGGGTCTAAATAACGGCCAAATTCGATCGAATGCGATTCTAGCGAAATCTCAAGATTTAAAAATAATAACCGGGAGTGATCAGTTCCCGGGCGAGATTTTTACTATAAGCGCACTGACGAAATACCCGTTTTATAAATCCCAAAAATGGGCCAAAATTCGGAATGTCACATTTAGGCTAAAGCCCCTTGGAGAAATGCAAATGGCGTTTGGTAAAAAATTCTTTATAAAGCTACTTTGGGCCAAGTAATGTTTGGTAAATTTTTTTTTGCAAAAGGGCTTTGGAAATAAAAAAAACCTAACTTACCCTTCGCCGGAGCCGGCGCCGACTGGCCCCAGGCGAGCCAGATCTGGCGCCGGCGGCCGTCGCCCAAGGCCGGGCGACCCTCGGCGAGGGTCGCGGGACCCGAGCGACGGCCGCTGAGGTGGCGAGACCCGGGCGGCCGGCCTCGGGCGGCGGCCGCTGGGTCCGCGACCTCGCTTGGGTCTCGCGACCCTCGGCGAGGGTCGCCCGGCCTCGGGCGACGGCCGCCGGGCTCTTGCCGACCTCTTGTGGGCCCGATCCGGCGCCGGCCGCCTCGCCGGCCACCTCACAAAGAAGACGATGAACAGTACACACGAGGGGCAAAACCGGAATAAGCCAAAATAAGTGAGGGTAGTTTGGAGATAAAAAATTTGGGTTCAGCATTCCAAATGCTAATATTTGGCAAATGCTGATCCAAATGCTGAACCAAACGCAGCCAGCAAAGCAAGGTCAGAGGCGAAGTAAATGGCATGACTCGTAAAAACGTAAAAGCTTTTTATTGATAGAAATAAGGATTAATATCACAAAAAATCTCAAATTAATATATTTGTGACAGAGGTACCCCAAACTGATTTTTTTATCATCAAAAATCCTAAATTTACCCTCCGTTAGTTACCGCTAAATTTTACTATCAAATTACTGAGATAGATAACACGTGGCAGCTGATGGGTGTACCAGTTTAAGATTTTACTCCTCTGCTTATCACGGGTTAATCAGTTTGTGATTTTTCGCGGTATTAATCTAATTTAACGGAAGGTAAATTTGTCACAAATGTACCAGTTTTGGATTTTTTGCAATCAAAAAATCAATTTGTGATAAATTTATCACAGGTGTACTAGCTTAAGGTTTTTGTTAGTCAAAAAATTAATTTGAGGTTAATTTGTCACATGTATACCAGTTTAGAGTTTTTTGTGATATTAATCCTGGAAACAAGAAGCAGGAGTCACCCAAACAACAAATTTTTAAGTCGAAATTGAATGTTTTCAAAGCATACAGGACAAATGGCACGAAACACAAATCCCTTTCAACGGAGGAGGATGATCTAGTGGACAGTGATGAACTGACGATCAGCACAACTAGATGTAATTAAGTTAAGTTGCATGATAGTCGCTTGGACTCAATTGGATGATTACTCGAGATCGACTCGACTAGTTTCGAGTCAAACTTGAGCTCACCAATACTAAGCCCTACAGATTCGCAGGCACAATCGAGCTTGATAGAGCTTATACAAAATATTTATAATTACAAAAAGGACAAATAACTCCATAATAAATTAAACTTTTTTACCGTGAGAATAGTTTTGGGTTAATATCACGAAAAACCCCAAATTGGTACATTTATGACAATTTTACTCAAAACTAATTTTTTGACCACAAAAAACCAAAAACTGGTACACCTATGACAATTTTACCCTCCGCTAGTTTTCATTAAATTTTACTGTCAAATTTATAAGTTTGATTATTCATGACAGTTGACAGGTCTACTAGTTAGAGTTTTACCCTCCGTTTGTCATAGGTATATCGATTTGTGATTTTTCATTATATTAACTCAATTTAACAGAGGGTAAATTTGTCACGAATGTACCAGTTTGGGGTTTTGGTGGTCAAAAAATTAATTTGGGATAAATTTATCACATGCATTCCAGTTTGGGGTTTTTGGTGGTCAAAAAATTAATTTGAGGTAAATTCATCACATGTGTACTAATTTGGAGTTTTTCGTGGTATTAACCTAATGATTTTTTCTCCCGTTTGGGTGGATACATGTGAGCAAGACTTTGAGAGGCCTGAAAATGGGCCATGCCTCGATTGTGCTTGCTTTAAGTCGATCGGGTCCTACCCATGGGCCTAATGGCCCGACTAGACAAATATTTTTCAGGGATACACACGAATGGGAAAGCTGAAAACTTCCCTCATAACATAATAAGGAGGTGGAATTCAACGTTCGAGATTTTGAAGGAAACATGCGAGGAGATGGGTGTGCCAACGCTCCTCTCCAATGCTCATATTGGAAGTGTCGGTCTTTTGCTATTGACATAACAAGATTGGAGGATTGTCGAAATCTTTAGGGAGTTCTTGCAGATGTTCAACAATGCCACGGGTGTTTTGAGTGCCAGCATTATCCGTTAAGCGATCAAGGCCTTTTGTTTCTATACCTGACGTCAGTGGAATTAGCTAACAAAGAGGGGATTCCCTTTTTCAACGAACATATTCCTCAAATATTACAAGAACATTCCGCTCATTATTTGAGCAGCCATTGAACCTTCAAGTGGAGGGGCTAGAAACTCTTTTCATTCTATATTACAAAAATTTGGGATTGGTTGAGAAGGTCCAAGTGCAAAAGCGATTAATTGGCTCCGAAATATGTATACTACATTTGTCAGTCGATTGATACAACAAGTTCCACACCATGGATGACGAAAAATGCACCCTCATAGAGCAATGTCCACAAACCATGTGATCTTTGCATGGTAAGAAGAAAAACACATTAAAGCGTTTCACTAGGCCTTCATCTTCATCTACCAATGAGTTGGAGGTGCACTTCGGAACAGAGTACTCCAAATACATTGATTGAGTTGGCGACGTTGACATTCTGGAATATTGGAAGAGGCGAGCCAACGCTTTTATGATTTTCTCATCCATGGCTCGGGACTTGCTCACCTCGCTGGTGTACGTTGTACCTTCGAACTCCATGTTCTACTAACCAACAAATCTTGGAAGATGATAGTTCTAATCCTATTTGCACAAAAAAAAAAGGACTATTGCAGAGTATAATTGGTTTTTGTAAGAATCAACTCTACGTGAACAATTGGTATTTGGAGTTTAAGCTTGGATTTAAGCTTGAATAATTTCTATATTATTCGTAAGAGTTTATATCACGAAAAATTTAAATTGGTACATATATATATATATATATATATATATATATATATATATAACAAATTTCCTTTTGGAGGTCACACAAAAGGGCGAAAAACCTCCCCTTATCAGTGCCCATTGTTTTGCCTGCTTCGTATTGCTCTACAAAATCGAACAAAGACTCTGCCCTGCGAAATGCAAAACCCCCGCTAAACCGCCGCGAGTCTCTTCCTGCACGGCGAGCGCAATGTCCTCCTCCGCACATCTCGGTCGGAGCGTTTCCGGTGAGTTCTCTCCTTCTTCTCCGGCAGCTCGCACTTCGTTTGGGTTTCGGAAGAATTTGTTGGAGAGATCGAGGGGATGTTAACGTTGCTGTCTTCTCGAAACGTTTCGGCTATTTTTTCGCCTTTATCTTCTCGTTTTGTTCCTTTGCGGCCATGTTTTGTTTGTTGAGTATTCGCGCCTGGACGTTGAATCTGTGTATGCACGTATGTCTGAAGTAGGTGTTTGTGCTTGTCGTGAGTGGTGATTGTTCCCCCCTATCGTGCTTTTCGCGTGTTTTGGACTTGTTTTGTGAGGACTGGTGGCGTTTCTGTCTCTCAGATGAAGTGGGTCGGACAGATATTCGTGCAATTTTCCAATACCAAAGTGTTGTGCTCTCTCCTGAAGGATTGAAATGGGTTGAACTTGAGATTGCAAAACTTTTTTTTCGCTTTTGCTTTTTTCTTTACTTTATATTTTTCGTACTACTTCGTATATGCTCGTATATTGGGTCCCTCAGCATCCAGTCTCTAGCAATAGCAAGCTATAGGATGCTGAAAACTTAGTGGGTTTCGGGACTTTTGCGGCCGCGCACAATCTGTTTGTTGAAATTACTCCGTGATTTCACAATCTTAGGCTGGCTGGTTTATTTTTGGTCAGAAGGCTGGCTGGTTGAAATGGCATGAATCATGCGTTTGTACATCATTTGTTTATGTTGATGCAGTGGTAGTTTCTATCATGTTGGAACCCGTGGTGGTTAATTTAGTTCTTTGTTGCTAGAACTGTTTGCATAATCTTGGGCACATTGAAATCTGCGTAGAGGTGTGCGCTCCTGGGTGCACTTGTCATTCTAAGAAATGAGCGTGTTAATGTAACATGAAGTGTGCATAGTAGAATTTGGAGGAGGCATTGAGTGAGCTAAGGAAGGGCTGTTCCTCAGCTGCTGCTGTGTAGTTTCAGTGCAAAAAATCCAAGCTTGTAGAAACAAAATCTTGAAACCCACAAATAACTTATAACTAGATAATCAGGAAGCAATTATCATACTAGAAAATTACTTTGCTATGCTTTTCAAGTTTTTTAATTCCATGTTTGTATTGCCAATGACATAAAACATAAAAATCCCAATGACCACTTACTATGCATCTCCATTTATTTGAACATGTTCAATAGACTCTGGGAAATCTGTTGCTGAAAACCATTCAGTTCAATTTATAGTGTAGCTAAACTGAAAGTCTGAATTTGTACTGTTAGCAAAAATTGAGATGGTATCTTCAATCGGCATAAAAGCTGATGGTTATTCTACAACACCGTATAGTTTTCTACATGTGAGATAGTAGTTTCCTTTCTCTTTTCCTTTATATCCATGAGGTTGCTCTTGAATTGCTGGTATAGAAGTCATTAAAACCCTGGTATGCATTGACGATACTTCATTTCTATGATTTAAAGAATAGTTCAAGAAATGGCTCTATTCAATACAAGCAGTTTTAGTGCTGTGAATTGGGGGTAGGGGAGGGGGAAGTTGAGAAAGGAGATAATGAGCAAGAATATGGAGGAGGAGGTGTAGCACAGGAGAGGGGAAATATAAATTGTCATAAATGGCTATGAAAGAAACTGATGGATGAAGATAAAGAGCTTCTAGGAGGGTTGAAAGTATGTCCGCTTTGATGCTTCACATTGACAAATTCTTCTTCTAGGTATTTCTTCCAAGTCTTGGTTAGATACAATTACAACTGCCTGGGCAACTTTTGCCGATTGCTGTTTGAAACAAGAAATGCAACCTTAATGACAGATGTTACTGATTGATATGTGAGAAATTAGGGGGGTAAAGCTTTGGTTGTAACTTGGACCTGCTTCCTTTGTGAGCTAGCGTGGGAGACATAGCCTTGGTAGTACCTATGTCCAGTGTTGTCAAGAGTCGTAGGCACCCATAGGACGACGAGTGGGGTACACCTTAGCCATCTTCTGAACTAGGATTTACTCGAGCTAACTATTCTTTTGATCAAAATGCGTGATCTTTGTGGAAGGACAGGCTTAGAACCTTTTTTGATGGGCAAAAAATCCAGGAAGCATAATTGATGTTTGTTCTTTCAGTCAATTACTTGGAATTCTCTCTTTGTTTCATCTTAAATTATTCTTAATCCAATGTGTTTTTTAGTCAATATCAGTGTATGAATCTTGTCCTTATATGCTTGAACTGAGAACCCAAGTTTTTCTTCTGTTCCCTTTGGTGTTTTGTTATTTTTTTATTTTTTATTTTTTTGGATTAAGGGGGTGTTGGTTGGGGGTGGGGGAGTTGGGACACGAGTGCCGACTTGTGATGTGAATGGTATTTTGTTAATGGATGTGAATATTTTTATGTTACATATTATCATCATCCATCACCCATGTCCATTTTATAATTATCTGCAGGTTATCTATCCTCTGATGGAAAACATCTCCCTTGTTCTGGATTTTCTGGAAGAGTAGTCAGCGTGTCACCGTGTTCTTCTTTTGCTGTCTCTAGAGGCCAATTTCAAATCAAATTGACATCTTTAAAGTGCAGTTCTAGTAGAGCTTCTTTCCTATGCAAAGCAAGTAATAGTGGTCAGAAGAGAAACCCCGACTTCTCAAGGCACAATAGGCATGGTTTCTCTCGTGGACGGAATAGGCAAACGGAAGAAAGGGAGAGCTTTGACAACCTCGATGACTCTGAGATGTTGTCTTCAAAGAATGGTCCGCTGCTTTCTCTTTCTAGTTCTCCCAGATCTCAGGCCACTGCAGTGCCAGGGCCAAGAGAGAAGGAGATTGTTGAACTTTTCAGGAAGATCCAGGCTCAGCTTCGAGAAAGAGCTGCCCTGAAAGAGGAAAAGAAAAATGAAGCTACAAAAGGGCAAGGTAAAGAAAGTGAAACTGTGGATTCCCTCCTTAAGTTATTACGAAAGCATTCAGTAGAACAGTCTAAAAGAAAAGGCTTTAGTGGTGGTAGCAGAGACCTCACTTTGGACCAGCCAGAACAAAATGTTTCATCCAATGAAGAGAAAGGCTCAAGCTTCTTTGATTCAAATAGCATTCTAGGAGACGAATCTCAAGATTCTAATGCTACTTTAAGCAGGCCAGCTTCAAAGTTTCGACGTCAGTCTCCAATTCCGAGGGTCAAGTACCAGTCTATTAACTTTGGTGATGACAGCTATGACTCAACATCAGTTGCCAACTTAAGCGGAAGTAAGAACAAGGACCATGTTGAGAAACATCCCGAGCCTTTATATGAGCCAGCAGTGGATCCTGAGCCTGAGCTTGAACTTGAGCCAGAAGCAGAAACTGTTATTTCGGATGGAGGGGTTTATGATGAAAGGTTGGATGCAGAATCTTCAGATGCTGATGAAGCTGATGACAACGAAAATATGGATCAGCAAGGGCTGGTTGATGAAACGGACTTGAATGCGCTAAAGCTACCAGAGCTGAGGGCTCTAGCTAAATCTCGAGGGGTTAAAGGGTTCTCCAAGATGAAGAAAAGCGTTCTCGTAGAATTGCTCAGTGCGAGCTCGGGCTGAGTCGATTTCCTATTCTCTGCATGAGAAAATAATTTAGAGCAAGTGACCAGTTTTACCTTTTGATACCTGAGATGCTCCTTTTTGTTGTCCAGTCTTTTGGCGTAGTACCCACTTTAAATTTTCGCGGTTTGGATACTTTTATGATGATTTCCATTAGTCCTGGATTCTCAGACATGGATGGCGTTTGAAGTTTCCCTTTCCAGTTTTCTCTAACCGCAATACTTTGAAGGTACATTTCATTTCCTTCTTTTCATGTAAGGATCAATAGTTATTTTCAGTGAGCAACTTCTCTGTTTTGTTTAGCTCAAGATCTAGGATTATTAGGCCCCGATGGTATGCACTTCTTGGTCTTTTAGGCTTTTGTTATTGTAGAAGAAACTTGTGGATTTACGGCTTCCAGCACAAAGATCTCGTCTTATCCAACATTAGTCCCCAATGTTATTATCACGTATCGTCCGCCTCTGGAGTTCCCCCGTCTCCTTGGTCTCATGGGACTTGGGCCAACAAGCACAGGCCAAGGCCCATGAAAAGTGAGATGACAGAGATGTGATTAAATTATGTAGAGACCATCATAAACTAACATTTTGGCCATTATAGGTAACCACTTTGAACCCAAAATAGTACCGTCCCATTTGCTTACAATTGAACTTTTATAATTGCAAAAGATGTGAAATTTTGCAGATAAATTGATAGATGAAAACTCTCACGATGTCTTTTTTTTTTTTTTAAATATGAAGGAAAGATTTGGCTTAATTCCTTGAAAAACTCCCAACATTAGGACCAGTTTCAATTCTGCCCTCAACTTTTTTTGTCTAAAAAAAGATTCACAAACTTTTGCTCAGATTTCAAATCTGACTCGTTAACTCTATCAAAAAATTGCCTTTGGACAATGAACCTCTAAGTGGGTGATCCTGAGGGTGTTGATGAAGATGTAAGTTCTGATAATGAACCTCTAAGTGGCCTTGATGTTGATAATTTTGAGAAAACCGATGATGATTTTTGGATGGTGGGTTAACTGGGGCATTTTTGGGACTGGAGTGAGAGTTGGTTATTTTGCTTTTTTGATAAAAAAAAAGGTTCAAAAAAATTCGGATTAAACCTAAAGTTGGGATTTTTTTAGGAAATTAGTCCAGAAATATATTAGGGTGGCTTCAAGATGAACATTGTAATCTAACTCAAATGCTCAAAAAGTCAAGATTGGGAGTGCATGATTTACTTTGTGTTAATTTGATTTGTGTTAATTTGATTGAGAAGGTCACCTGCCTACGGCATGATGAGCCCAATAGGCCACTCGTGAACCCACCCTGCAAAAGAAACTCGTCCCTACTCCACTGGGCAGAATCCAAATTCTACACTTGAAAAGAACGACTCAAGTGTGAATTTGGAAAACTTTACAAAATTGTTCTGAGCCCTCAAATTAGAGGTTATTGTGACGATGAGAGGAAGTAGATGTGAGCGATTCCAGGATATGTTCAGGTTTCACTTGGAACCTATTTTGTCGGGACCAGTCTCAATTTTTGAAACCTAAAACCCACTCTATATACACTGAAACTGAGCTTGGAATCGAACCTGCAGTTCCAAGGTTGGTTCCGGGGTCTACTTAGGAATTGGTCAATTCTTGTTTTTTGTTTCATTTTTTTATTCCTTTTTCTTTGGCATCATTTTAAGTCAAGCAAAATGAAAATTTTAGCAACAACACGTTTACATAGATAGAGTTTCATCAACAAAACTACCTATCCCAAACAGAAAGATTTTTAACTGAAGTAATCTATCAAACTTAACAAGAAGTTGTATTATGTTGTTACGTAGAATAAATGAAAAGGGTTGATTCAAGCGTAAACTAGAAACACGTGTAAAAGAGTAGTGGTAGTTAATTTGAGGTTTCCAAAGTGCCAAGTGATATCTCCCGTAATGAATATACATATATCTTGCAGGTGGAAGTTCCTCAAGGGATGAGTTTCCTTGAGGAACTTCCACGTAAATGTGGACGGAGTCGGAATTGACAAGTCATATTCTAAGGTGATCAAGATCCAAGTCCTCCTGCATAATGCCCAAGGATAGAGAGAGTTATGTAAAAAGGAAACGTTAATGGGGAAACAAAAACAAAATAAGTAATGGGTATTTCGCTTCTCTTTACTGCCTACCATTTCTAGAGTCTACTGTTCGGAGCACGAAATCCCCTTCATAGGGCACGAAGTACGCGCCAAGTTGGAGAACGAGTTGACAGGGATAGATTCTCATGGGGAGAGTGCACCACTGGCCCTCGCCCTCGTAGTTGATCTTGCCGGCGAGGAGATTGTCCTCCTCCAACGTCCACGGCACCCTCTTCAGCCCCACCTTGCTGCGGCACGCGGTCTTCATTATTTTGAAGGTTTAATACTAGGAATGAAGAACATATTGGAAAACAGTAGTAATAAGATGGTGTTTGAAAGTTTATTACTACTAGTATGAAAATTGGTAAAAAGATCCATAGAAACTAAAAGGATCACCTTGGTTCAATCGAGTTCCTGGTCCGGTTCTTTGGTTCTACCTAGGAAGCGGGAATTGGACTGCATAGTATCAATTCCAAAATTTTGGAATCAAAAACCGGACTGAGGAGTTCATGAACCGGGAATTAAACCAATTTCTAGGGTTGGTTTGGTTCCTAGTTCTACCCGAAACCCATGGTCACCTCTAAGAGGAAACTGGGAACCAGACCAATTTCTAGGGTTGGTCTGGTTCCTAGTTCTACCTGGAACTCATGGTCACCTCTAAGAGGAAGGATTGGAGAGATTTCCATGTGTCATGGAACCTGCACATGTATTTATACTATATTCTAAGTGATACAATATAGGAAAACCAAGATTACACAACATGACGCAATCAATGTAGGTATTTACTATGATACTATTTCTCATTCCTCACTCCCCCTCTGGCTGGAGCTTAATATCATGTATGCCCAACTAGTTACATATATACTTGACCAGGTGAGCACTGAGAGCCTTAGTGAATGTATATAGTACCGGATCATCAGTTTTAATAAACAATCATAATTTCCCGAGGGTGTAGTTTTTCTTAAAGAGAATGCCAGTCAACCTCTATGTGGTTCGTTCTTTCATGAAAAACAAGATTCGACACAAAATATATGGTAGCTTGATTATCACACATCAACATTCCGGTAGCAATTGTGTCAAAACCAATCTGTTCAACAAATTTGTCAACCAAATCAACTCACAAGTGGTTATGGCCATAACTCTATAATCAGCTTCTGCTTAGAGTGAGTTAGAACCTTCTGTTTCATACTCTTCCGTGAAGTCCGATTTTCTCCAATGGACATGCAGTAACTAGTCGTGGATCTGTAATCGAAGGGGCAACTAGCCCACTCAACATCGACGTAGCCAACAATCCGAGTATAGCATCTATCCTGGTAGAACGATCCTCTATCGGGTGCACCTTTAGCATACTTCGTAATTCAAACCACTACATCACAGTGTCTTTTTGTCGGTGCATCCAAAAATTGGCTCATGAAACTAATAGCAAAAGATAGTTCAGCTTACCAACCAATCTTATGTATCTCTTGGGCCTAGGAAAAGGCTCATCCTCACCTGGTAATAATTTGATGCTCGGATCCATCGGAATAGCAATAGGCTTAGCATTGAGTAATCAGGTTCTTGAAAAATTTCGGATCATGAGCTGTAGTGGCGAGGCGCTACAATCCCTGATAGTTGCTTCATTTCTCACGTTGTTAGCATATGCAAGGTGTATTAATTGTTTTGAGATTCGATTCACGCCCATTTAATTGAGATGTTTTGCTGGGATTAGATTTGTCCACATTCATTATTTTTTTTTTGTCTGTCCTATCTCTAGCTCTCCTCACTCTCTGACTTTTGATCTGCCTCTTGCAAAGCGCGGGAGTCGAACCTCGCACCTGTGATACTAGCATTTCCACCACCCCCATCTCTTTACCAATAGGACCGCATGCCTATTGGCCATTGTTTTTTTAATTCATACGTAGCTCTTGCGTGCAAATAGAAGGTGTATTGACTATTGTTTGGCATTGGATTTATGCCTATTTGGGCCCGTTCCGTGTTATTGATTAGATTCATCCATTAATTTGCTTTTGCATGCGTTGCGTATTTTCAAAAAGAAACTAATTACACAAGGTACGAAGAAGTCGAGTCTCTTTTTTTTTTGTCAGAGAAGTCGAGTCGTCACCCACCACCCTATAATGTGGCGATTTTGTCGAAGGGTGAGCAGCGAAGTTTTCGGTGTTTTCAAAATCCAAAAGAAAACTATATGAACATTAGAATTAGGAAATTTGATGATATTGTCCGATATAATGTAGCCACGGAATGTGGTACCGACAGGACGACGTGGGGGTGCTAACCCTTTCCCTTGCTTAACTTACCCCAAACCTAGATATTTAGTTTTTGTAGACCAGTTGACTTTTAGGTGATTAGTTGATTTTATTAATGGTTAATATCACGAAAAATCCCAAACTGGTACGCTTGTGGCAAATTTATCCAAAATTAATTTTTTGATCACCAAAAACCCCAAACTGGTATACCTGTAACAAATTCACCCCAGACTAATTGGATTAATATCATGAAAAATCATAAATTGGTAAATTTGTGATAAACAGATGGGCAAAACCCTATATTTGTATACCCGTCAGTTGCCACGTATTATCAAACTCAGCAATTTGATTAAAAAATTTAACGGAAACTAACGAAGGGTAAATTTGTCACAAGTGTATCAGTTTTGGATTTTTTTTTTTAGTCAAAAAATTAGTTTGAGATAAATTTATTACAAATATACTAGTTTGGGGTTTTTCATGGTATCAACGCTAAGTTTTAATATCTAATGACACTTTTGCCAAGAGTTTTACGAGCCTCGATTAACTTCCACCGAGATGAATGTGTAATTTTGTCATGTGAACTTTTTCTTACTCCTTTTTTTAGGGAAAACATGTGCTCGACGTATCTTCAGGATACATGCTGATCGTGGGGAATCCCAAAAGACAATTATTAAATTGCGATAACACGACGTACACGGCAAACCCACTATTTTCTTTTCTTTTGGTGATGGGCAGATCCAACAGAAAAGGGGGAAGATTAGAGTACAAATTCCATTAATGAATAGGATAGTAGCATCAAATAAGCTAGATATAGTTGACGCTTGTTTCGAGAATCA